GAAATCCTCTGGAATCTGTCTGCTTTAAATTTCCTACTGCGATAGCAAGATATACCACGTAGTCAGGGTACTCAGGAAATATATTCAGATATTCACACTGAGAGAGTGGTGCAGGGGAGGGAGAATCTCAAGCAGACTCCCCGGTGAGCAGGGAGCCTGATGGGGGGCTCTGGCTCACAATCCTGAAACCATGACCCATGCTGAAACCAAGAGTGGGACGCTCAACCGACTGAGCCACCCAGGAGCCCCGGAGTTACACTTTCTAATTCTATTAAATCCCCTTTTCTTTCAGTAAGTGGCATTTTCCTTTCTGGCTATCCCAGCTCATCAACAACATAAAACAAAAAGCTTTTTCTGAAGCTTTATGTAAGCAACATCATTCTGAGCCAACTAGCATTCAGGCACTGGCGATGGCTCATTCCCGCCGGGGGGTTAGGTAACTGCGGTCTTTCACCACTAGCCTCCCTGAGCTTCCTTATAACGTGCACATTCTGCAGAACTGGGAGGACGGGGCGGGGGGGGGGTGTCTCTGGGTGATGGGCATTAAGGAGGGCACATGACGGAATGAGTACCGGGTGTTACACAACACTGATGAGTCACTGACCTTCACCTCTGAAACTAATAATACATTATGTATATAACATATAAATTAACTGAATTTAAAGAAAAAGGAATAAGACTGGGATGACAGTAATATTTATCTACCCTCATGCTCCACACCCAATGCTTGGCACACAGGGGACACTGAATGCTAGAAACGCTGTTGTTTTGTCATATAAACGGTCCCCCAAAATACAGACTAGATCTAAACAAATCCATCCCTGACTGTAATAAGCACAAGGAAAAGAATGTACTGAGAGTGTCACTGAGTAGCTCCGAAGGTAGCAACAACAGAGGCAAGTAGGTACCACGCACTTACAGGAGGCCACGCAGTTCACGTCCCTTGTTTCAGGACAACAGCCACAGAATTGGACCGAAGCCCTGAACTTCAAACCTCGCAAACCCATACCACCCTTTGTTCCCTCTCTTAACTGTTCACGTCTTCTGTTTCTTCTACTCATGCTTTTGGAAGAAGTGCTTGGCTACCAGACGTGACTTCTCGCACTCTTCCTGATCATTCTAGGTGCCCTGATAAAAGGAGTAATGGTTTCTATTTTCACTTCAGGTTCCCCTCTCAGAACAGGAATAAAGGAAGATGGCCAGAAAAACTGGGTACGTAGGAAATTTTTTTTAAAAATATGAGCTATTCTTCTGGCTTGGGGTTTTAAACTCAGAGTATTTTATGTTCCCAAACACTGTTTCTGTATCTGCCATAATTTGTGCCCCTGAACCATTAATAACATTCTTTTCGGCCATTCGCTGCAGCCAGTACGATCTTGCTCGGAACAGTCCATCTTCTACAATGGAGGGGAGAAGAGAACAGTGGGGGGGCGACCAGACTTTAGCTCCCTCTCTGCACACTCTCACAGCTCTTGTTTAAAGGGACCGATGTACACATTTTGGTGTTTTTTACCGGCTTCCAGGCATGCACAGTGTACTAGAAGTAGAGATGGAGAGAAAACTGGAGTATGTTGTCCTCCTTTATTATCTACGCCCTTAGAAACAGTCCTCAAAAACGGGTAGATATTAGTTTTGTTTAAAAGAACCACACTAGGGGCGCCTGGGTGGCTCAGTGGGTTAAAGCCTCTGCCTTCGGCTCACGTCATGATCTCAGGGTCCTGGGATTGAGCCCCGCATCGGGCTCTCTGTTCAGCAGGGAGCCTGCTTCTCCCTCTTTCTGCCTGCCTCTCTGCCTACTTGTGATCTCTGTCTGTCAAATAAATAAATAAAATCTTAAAAAAAGAACCACACTTTGTGGGGTGCCTGGGTGGCTCATAGGTTAAGCATTCAACTCCTGATTTTGGCTCAGGTCATGATCTCAGTGTCGTGATCTCAGTGTCATGAGATCAGGCCCCACATCGAGCCCCACGTGGAGCCCAGAGAGCTCTGCACTGGGTGTGGAGACTGCTGAAGATTCACTCTCTCCCTCACCCCCTGCCCAGCTCGTGTGCATGCTTTCCCTCTCACTCTCTAAAAAAAATAAAAAAGTAAAAAAAGTGAAGAACCACTTTGTACATTAAAATCTTTAAGATTTCTTTACAAATAAACGTGCCTCTGATCTCAACAATAAAAATTTTGCTAAAATAAGCATTGCACGGGAGTCCCCATGAGGGGCGCCTGGGTGGCTCAGTAGGTTAAAGCCTCTGCCTTCGGCTTAGGTCATGATCTCAGGGTCCTGGGATCGAGCCCCACATCAGGTTCTCTGCTCAGCAGGGAGTCTGCTTCCCTCTCTCTCTCTCTGCCTGCCTCTCTGCCTACTTGTGATCTGTCTCCCTCTGTCAAATAAATAAAATCTTAAAAAAAAAAAGAAAAAGAAGTCACTATGATATTCTAATTCGGACTTCAAAATAAAGCAGCAACAGATTTTAGATTCCTGTTTTCCAGCACTAGATTTCTAACTACAACCAAATGTATCGCCCATTTAACAAACCAAGCTGCAAACCTAAACCATTTAAAACTTAAGTTCTTAACTATCCTGGAAGAGTGCATTATCATTTCCAAGAGTTTTAAATGGATCTTGGCTTACTGGAAGTTTTACTAAACTATCCATTTGTGGTCCCGTTAGGAACACATGAAGGGAAGGAATCTAGTTCTACCATGAAGTCCTCTTCCCCATGAGGCATCAGCTTCTGACTGGGTGATGGGCTATGAATACTTTTCAGTTCATTAGACGTGGAGCTGGAGAGTCTAAGAATGCTGCAGGGGGCTAGGGGAGTGACTGCGGTGTGTTCCAATATACCTGTGCACAGGTATGCGCAGCTTACCTGTGAATCATGAAAGCTTAAGGTCCTAAAAATGGCAACTTGATAGACTTCAGAATGGAAAAACGCTGCAACTCTACATCTGAGCCAGCAGGTGTCTCTCTGCAGCCCACGACGCCAACCAAAGAGAACAGGACACAGAAGACCCCCGCCCCACTGTAATTCTGTGATCCTGCGAACCACAGAAGAGCATGAACTGTGAGAGGAGACCGCCAGAAAAGGCAGGTTTCTGAGAAACTGAATATGGGGATCTAAGCAGATACAGGAATTAATGAAAAGTGTTACCTTTTGAAAATTACATTTACTAGGCAGGATCTAATAGCACAGAGCCATCTGTTTCAGTCAAAATGGTAAAATCATTCTCGGCTCTTGGTCAGGAGAGGAAGGTCCAAGTTCAAAGAGCACTGAGAAGTGAATGGTACGTGAAAAACAGAACACAAGCTTAGTTACAAAAGGAAGGAGAGGGGCGCGCCTGGGGGCCTCAGCGGGTTGAGCGGCCGACTTAATTTTGCTTCGGGTCACAATCTCGAGGTCCTGGGATCGCTGTCCCCGACCTGGAGTTGGGCTCAGCACTGACTCTGAGTTTCTTCCCCGCTATACTCACACACGCTCTCTTGCTCTAAAAATAAATAAATGAATTTAATAATTAAAAAAAAAAAAGAACAAAAGGAAGGAGAGAGTTTTGCATATAAAGAACTAAAATAAGGCAAGTCTGAGGGAGTATTTAGGGTAACAGAGACTTGTGCAAGTTACTACAGAACATGGAAAAGGAGAAAACACGTGCCCCTGCCGCTGGTCTAAGTACCCCTGACCGGTAGTATATGGAACTTATTCTGTAAGTAATCAGGAGCAACAGAGATGAAAGCAGCAAGAAAAAAGAGAAAAAAGGAAAAAAGGAAATTGTATCACAGCTCCCAACAGCACAGGTATTATTCTGGGAAACCATACATCCCCAGATACAAATGTGTGTGCTGGGTCCTCATGTGACACCCAACTCCTTCCTGGGGGCTTTCAGTACAGAGGTCTGGGAGCCACGACCTATGGAGTGCAGCACTAGCGCCCACCTCTTTCAAGGTGACAATGCTATCTGTAACACCTCCAAACAGAAAAGCAACTTCCAGGGACACCTGGGTGGCAGAGTCAGTTAAGCACCTGACTCTTGATTTCCGGCCAGGTCATGATCTCGGGCTCATGACACTGAGCCCCACGTCGGGCTCCACCTCAGCTCAGAGTCTACTTAAGATTCTCCCTCCCTCTGCCCCTCCCCCACCTCATAAATAAATAAATAAATCTTTAAAAAAGGAAAAAAAAAAAAAAAGGTAACTCCCAAAGGTAATATCCCAAAATCCCAGAAGGGAAATGTGACAAAACATAAATGACAGAGTACTTCAAGTCAACTACATAAGTTGTGGGGAAGGGGATGCAGTGTGAACGCCACTTAGAGAAACTTCTAATTTGACCTAATCAGACTGGGGGCCCCACTCCCGGCATCTCCTCTGGGTCCCGAACCAAGCTGGAGTGTTGAGGGAGAGAAGCTGGGGGGAGACAGGAGAGTTGAACTGAGAGGGAAGGTGAGATACAGATCAGGAGACCCAAGCCTCCCCAGAACACGGCAGAAAGGCAGAAATTGTGCAGCTCCAGAGAGCTGGACACAGGGGAAGACAAAGGTGAGAGGTGAACTTTGCAATCTCATTCCCCAAATGACAAGGAGCTGTTTCTTTAAGAATTTTTTTAAAAGCTTGTTTTGCTCAAAACGGAAATGGATTTGACACTGAAAAGGTCATCATGAATGAATGCTCAAAATCAAAGATGAACGGGTGCTCAAACACTCTGGGTGCTGCTCAAAGATGAAGACAGCAAGTTTCTCAGGCCAGCGTTCACAGGTCCCACAGAATTTACCAGTGATGGAAAAAAGAAAACAATTTGCCAATGATGGTCCCAATGGCTTCAGGAGCAGAGGGTTTGTTTTTGTGGGGTACTTTTTTGGTTGGATGCCTGGTCTGTTTGGGGCTCAGGCACATTTAAAAGAACTTCTCAAGAGCAAACACGTGTTTCACAATGTGCCAGGTACTCTTGTAACGACTTCACAAATACGACGGGTGACTGTATACACAACCCCTGCTCATTTCAGCTACCTACCTGTTCAGTGGCTCACTCTGTTCCATGGGAAAGTGCCGCTGTTTCTTCCACTTTTCTCCTGAGAAAGATGAGGAAAACACAGTGAGAAGTCATAAAAGCATACATGTGTTGCATATCATTGTTTGACATCTTTTGAACTCAGGAGCACCCAAAGGGCTTCCTGACACCTTAGTCAATTACTTCAGCTGCGTCGTTTTCCGGAGTCACCAGGTAGAACCATTAAGATGGTATCACCGTACATTTAGATAATAGATTTGGAAAACAGATATGGTTTATGGTTTCAAAGGAAATCAACATGCCGTATTAAAAAGTTAGATGCAGGGGCACCTGGGTGGCTCAGTGGGTTAAGCCTCTGCCTTCGGCTCAGGTCATGATCCCAGGGTCCTGGGATCAAGCCCCACATCGGGCTCCCTGCTCTGCAGGGAGCCTGCTTCCTCCTCTCTCTCTACCTGCCTCTCTGCCTACTTGCGATCTCTGTTGTCAAATAAATAAATAAAATCTTAAAAAAAAAAAAAAGATGCATAGGGAAACAATTTAGAACAAGTTTCTCCTTGACTCTGAATCCTTCTACATTTATTATGCCTTTTCAAACTACATTCCCTCTCAAATTCTTTTTTTTCGGTGGGCAGCACCTTTCTGTGAGCAGGGCGGTGGGGGGGTGGGGAATAATTGTGGTTCTAAGGGCAAAAACAACTGGTGCTATAGTGATCAGAGATTTACTTTTTTTTTTTTAGCTTTTATTTATTTACTTGACACAGAAAGGATGCACAAGTAGGGGCAGCAGCGGCAGAGAAGTAGGCTCCCCACTGAGCAGGGAGCCTGACACAGGGCTGGATCCCAGGACCCCGGGACCATGACCCGAGCCCAACGCAGCTGCTTCACCGACTGAGCCACCCAGGCGCCCCATATCACAGATTTACTTAATTTTTTTTTAATGACAATGGGAAAGCAATCATCAAAAAAGAGGGTACTGCCTAGGGAAGGTGGCTGCTGAGAACATTGTCACCAGATGACATTTACCTCTGGGAATTCAGGACTGTCTTTCAAATCTCTTGCATCCAAAAGTCTATCTCACTACATTTCTAGAAATGAATCCAGTACTGATTCAAGCTAACAAAGCTCATAAAAGACTGATACCTTTATATTCACATACAATGAAAACCGTCATTGCCAGTCTGGACACTTGCTCCATCCAGCTTGACCAATATATTTACATTTCTCTAGTCAACAGGTATTTCCTGAAATCCCAGGTCCAGGCAACTTATAGGCAGGTGAAAGGTCAAGCCAAATCAACTGAAGCTTGTTCAGCAAACATATCAGAGCAATCATAACCTCGAAGCTAATGGCCTCCAACACTCTCCCCTCCAGATAAGTGTTCTCCTATCTCCTGTACCACATCGCCCTAGTCCAGGCTCCATCAACCGTCTCCTGGACAAACTCAAGATACTCCCACGCACTCCCAGCTTCCACACTTTCCCTTCCAGACCATTAACCACAGTGTGTCCCAGGTTTACATCCAAAGATAGAAAATAGCTCATGGCCCAGCCTGACTCAAACCCCTTCAGTGCTGTACACTGGGCTCATAATAAAGGCCCAAAAAGCTGCCCGGAAGGCCTCACGCTGGCCCCGCGCACCTGCCCAGCTTCCTTCAGCACCACTCGCCCTGCCACCTTCATTCACTGCAGCCACACTGGTCTACTTTCACTCTCTTGGATGTGCACAGTCCCTCCGCACCTCAGGGATTTTGCATACCTCATTTCCTCTGCCTGGAAATTAATACAGTATTCTGCCCCTCCCCCCCTCAAAGCACACACTTGCCTAGTAACTGGCAGATCCTACCTTGAATGTGATCTGACCTCAAGACTGGGACAAATTCTTCTATTTAAAGCTCCCACACCATCTTGATCTCCTTAGTAGCACTTACCAATAACAGCTTATAATCCCACACGTATGTGATTATTTATGCGTATTTCTCCCATTAGAGTAGTAAGAAGCTCCATGCAGGTGGACGCCGGGCTCAGTCTACAAGCACATTCCACAAGAGTGGACATGCAAGAGAGGTTTTATCAAAGGAAGAAGAATGGCTTTGGGCTGTAAGAACCTGCTGTATCTATCAGCACAACAGGAACCATTCTGCCAGGTAGACTATATGGCTTCCCTGACTGGCTCCATCCTCCCCAGGGTGTCCTCCCACCCCTGCAACAGCAATAATCACATGGACACTGTCTACACTCACTTCAGTAACACTACTGCTACCTTGACTTCCATTGCCACAATAAATCTTGCGATACTAAAAGACAACTAGCACAAAGTTCAAGATACATTTGGGTAGCGACTCCGCACAGAGGACTTGTGGCAGTGGGTTACTTAGGAACGCTATAAACAAAAGGGAAAACATAAATTGTGGCCAAAGGAAGCCCTCGATGAGACAACACCGGCAAACAAATACACAGGCACACACGCGTGCACACGAACACCCTAAGCGCAGCCCTTGGAGGAGGGGGGCACCAAGGCTGAGTGTGCGTGGGATCCTGCCACAAGGACTGGTAGCAAGGAAGTGTGAAGACTCCTGAAGAAGGCCCCAGATACTGCTCTTCTGCTTCCTCCCCAGGCCCTGGTGCACAGGGGACCTGCTATGTACTGTGTGAGTCTCCCATTTGCCTTACAAATCAACAATTAGCCGGCATTTCCTAACATACTACATACAATGCTTTCAATGGCTCACAGCTGTGCTTAATATTTTAAAGATGTTCTCCTAACATTTCAGTCCTCTTATGTGATGTGAATGAGAACAGTACTGGTGGGAAGAAGTCCCACAATGCCCTTGGATCTAAATTCACGTCTAGTCATGGCGCTGCAAAGGGGGGACTTCACTCAGTCATTTCACAAACACGATGCTCCTCGAATAAGCCAGTCACTCACTGTTCTAGGTGCTATGAACACAAGACGAACAAGACAAAATCCCTTCTTCTCAAGGAAGTAATACTCTAGGAGGAACCAAACAATGAACACATACTAAGTAAAACATAAAATATGTCCAGTGGAGAAGGGTGGGAAGGGGAGATTAAATTTTAAATAGGGTAGTCAAGGAAATCCTCAATGAGAAACTGACATATGAACGAAGTCCTAAAGAAAGTTTGGGAAGGAGTTATATAGATAAATTGAGAAACACAGTGCCAGACCCGAGAAATCAGCAAGTACAAAGGCCCTGAGGCAGAAGTGTGGCCGGTCTGAACTGGGATATGCAAGGGAGATGGTAATAGGATAGGGGGTCAGAGAGGTAAGCGATGGGACTCTTAAGGCCCTATAGGCCTTGGGCTTTTATTCTGAGAGCCCTAGAACACAACTGAGATGTCTGGGGCAGAGGTGAATATGATCTGGATGCTCTGGTGAAGACAGAATGAAGAGAAAGCAAGAGGGAGACAGCAAGTCCAGTTAGTGGGCTCCTGAAATAATCCAGGCAAGAGTGCAGCCAGCCTCTAATCTAGAACAGAGGGGTGACAGGGCTTCTAAAAAAGAATCTGATGGATTCTCCAGGGTCCTTGAAGGAAGTGCCCTGGGATTTAACTTTAACTCCTGCAAGGACTGATTCTAGTCTTAATCCTTTTCTCACTAAGAGGGTTTTTTGGTTTTAATTCTTCCTTTCATAAAAGAAAACTCAGTGGATGTTTATCTATATTCAAGTAACATACAGTCATCACAGACAGTGGGGAAAAAAACCAAATACAAAAAAAAAAATCTTTGCATCACTTGATGAAAGAACACCAAACAGACATACTTTTAAAAACCAGACTTGGGTCAGTATGATCTAACCCTGACATTTGTCAGCTGTACCAGTCTGAGTTCAAACCAGGAAAAAAAAAAAAAAAAAAAAAAAAAAACGCTTGGCTACATCACTGAGGAAGCCACACTTTTTTTTTTTTGCAGACTTTTTCCCTGACAAACCCATGATGATCACGTGATATAAAGTAAAAAGTGGACATGATGAATTCCTAGAATTTTTTTTTGAAAATTTTAAGTAAGTACTCTTTTTATTCTCTCCTCTTTGGTTAAGGGTACGGTGGGGTGGGAGGGAGCAAGGCCCAGCTGTTGGCATGGAAACCATTCTGCCCCCGGGCAGAGAAGCAGCGCTAGGCTGGCAGTCAGCAAGCCAGGGGCCAGCACCCGTGCAGTAAACAAACCCCTGCCCATCCCTAAACAGGGCGCCGAGGTTTGGTCAAACGCTGTCAGGGGGCCTGGTCTCTAGCTGCAAACAAAATTAAACTCTTGACTGCCAGCATTTAACACCTACAGCTCATATGCCTCATGTGTTCAGCTTTTCTCGAAGTGTGCAGGTGACTCTCTCCCCGCCAATCCACTACTGTCAGGGCCCCTCTAAAGCAGCCCCCTTCCATTGGTGAGGCACACAGGGATTGCCTGGGCGTCTGTTCACATGCAGATTCAGTCTTGCTACCTCTGGGTGGGGGCTGGAGATGCTGCATGCGCTTCTAGTAGGCTCCCCAGTGGTGTTGCCCCTGCGGCTGGTCTGTGGCCCACAGGCTGAGAACGCAGTGGTCCAGTATTTACCGTCCTGTCTCCATCCCCGCTGCCTTCCATTTCCTTTGTAAGTACCAGTGACAGAGCCTGAGACATGGCCCTTCATCGTGGGGGATAATGAAATCTCAGCAACAAGCAGCCTTCCCGAGGTATCGTTTGGTAACGGATCTGATCGGAAACTCCCGTCTGACCAACCGTGTAAGGTTCTCTTTCTCTTCTCCCTCCCCTTCACTCATCCCCTTTCCACGCGGAGGAAGGGTCCCCACAAAGGACCATGGCTGTAGGTAGGCTACAGGCTTCGGCGTGAGGTGAGGGTGTGGAAGAACCGAAATTGCTCAACATTTTCCAACACGTCCGTTTTTAGTGAAGACACTAATCCACAGACAATGTGGCACTGGCTGAGAACGCACAAAATTCTCCTCATGAGGGGCGGGGAGGGGAGGGTGGCCTGGGCTGCTTCAGGTATCGGCACTACTGGTTTCTAGAACAAGCCCTAGAGGGCGCTTCCACAGGACCCCATCC